ACAGTAAAAAAGGATTATAAATATCATTCATGAATATCCATGAAAACATTCTAAATAAAATACTAGTGAATAGAAATCCAAGATGACATTAAGAAAATGATACAACATAACCAAGTGGGATTTATCCCAGGCATACAAGGTTGATTACATATTAATATATGAACACACCATATTTTTAGATCTAAGGAGAAAAACCACATTTATTTCCACAGATGCTGAAAAAAGTCTTTGACAAAATTCATCACCCAAAATTCATTAAAAACACTCAAGAAAATAGAAACTGGTGGATACTTTCTTAATATGTAAATAGACTCATGTATGTGTGTAGACACGCACACATACACACACACACAGACACACACACACAGCTTGTGTACTACAACCAGCGTTTCATTTAATGGGGAAGCACTAGGAACTTCCCACTAAGATCAGGAACAAAGCAAGTTTTCCCACCATCTCCACTGCTATTCAACATTATACTGGCAATACTAGCCAGTAAGACAACAGACTCAATTACAGACAAGAGATTTGTTAAAGAAAAGTAGAACTAGCTCTATTTTGGAGATGATATGAATGTACATGGAAACCCCTAGGGAATCAGTGATAAAACTACTTCAATAAATTAGCAGGCTATCAAATTAGCATATAGAAATCAATAGTCTTCCAGGTGCCTGGGTGGCTCAGTCGTTAAGCATCTGCCTTCAGCTCAGGTCATGATCTCAGGGTCCTGGGATCAAGCCCCACTTTCGGCTCCTTGCTCAGCGGGGAGTCCACTTCCCCCCTCTCCATCTGCCTCTCCCCCCAGCTCATGCGCTCTCTCATTCTCTCTCTCTGGCAAATAAATAAATAAAATCTTAAAAAAATCAATAGCCTTCAACTTAAACAAACAATAAGCAGTAAGAATATATAATACAGAAAATCCCACTTACATGATAAGAAAATAAATTACTTAGTAGTAAATATAGGAAGAAATATTTTAAAACTACATGAGGAAAATTTTAAAAATATATAAAATCTTTTAAAAAAATATTTCTTTTGCTGGCTTTGTGTTTTATTTGCTCTTTCTTTTCTAGTTTCTTAAAGTGGAAGCTGAGTTCATTGACTTAAGATCTTTCTTCATTTCTATTATAGTTTAATGCTATACATTTCCCTCTAAGAACTGGATTGACTGCATGTCCCAATTATTGATATGTGGGTTCTGTTCTATGTACTTTTATGTCATGGTCAGCCAGGTGTAGCTACAAGAGAAGACACAGGAGAGGTTCAGGAAAACGAGTTTATTTTACTCACAGGTCCTAGAAACACACGGCACGGCACACCATGTCACATGGGGCCACCTGGGGAAGCCTCAGGGTGGTCAGCGGGCAGATAGCAGGAGTTGGGTGGGGGGAGGCTGGGGCTAGAACCTTTATTGGAGTGTCTGTGGGACAGGTGAGGCAAGGCAGGATAAACACTTTAGGGTTGGTTGGCTAATTTGAATAATTTCAGCAGGCTCTAAACTAGAGGGATGGTCCCTAGTTGCCCGTACCTGGCTTTGGAATGATTAATATTACCTCTTAGGGTATCTGGGCCAGGTAGAGGAGGGATGGCTCTGGATTGGTTAGTTTGCTGATCAAAGACATGCTCCTGGCTGGACCCTTTGCCATCTCAAGAACTGGCTACCCATAGGAGAGCCAGTTTCTTCCCAGCCAGAAAGGTTAAGATACCAAACATTGTAATATGCAGAAATAAAAAAATATAAACAACATGGTTTTCATTTTCACTCAGTTCAAAAATACTAAATTCCCTTTTGAGGTTTTTAATTTAGAATTGCACTACTTGGTTTTCAAATATTTGGGGGTTTCCCAGAGATCTTTCTTTTATTGATTTTTAATTTAATTCCATTGTGACACAAAACATAGTCAGTATGACTTGAATCCTTTTGAATTTATTGGGACCTGCTATATAGCCCAGAATGGAATCTGTCTTAGCAAATGATCTGTCTGAACTTGGAAAGAATGTGTATTCTGCTGTTAGTGGATGGTATTCTAGAATGTCAGTTAGGTCAAGTTGGTGGATAGGGTTGTCTTCTGTGTCTTAACCGATTTTTGGTCTTTTTTACTCTACCGATTACTGAGAGAAAGATATTAAAATCTCTGAATTGTAAATTTGTCTTATTCCTTCTTGCAGGTCTACCAACTTTTGCTTCATGTATTTTTAAACTGTTATTTGGGACATAAATATTTAGAGTTATTCCCTCTTTATGAATTGATCTCTTTATAAAATAACATCATTATAAAATGATGTTCTTTATCTGGGGTAATAGTCTATAATCTGAAATCTACTTCACCCAATACTAGTATAGCTACTCCAGCTTTCTTTTAACCTATTCGCATCCTAATATTTCATCTTGTAGGCAGCATAATTTGGTTCTTGTTCTCAGAATTTGACAATCTCTGCCTTTTAATTGAGGGTGTTCAGACCATTTCCTATTTATTATCGATTTTTTCCATCTACCTCTTATTTCCTTTTTCACCTTTTTTAGGGTTCAGTATTTTTCATGATTCCATCTCCTATGTTGGCTTATTAGCCGTAATTCTTTGCTGTGCTATTTTAGTAGTTGCTTCAGAAGTTGCTTTAACTTACCACAGACTACTTCCAAGTAATACTGTTCCACTTTATATATAATACAAGAACTTTACAACAGTATACTTCCACCCTCTTGGCTTTTTTGCTATTGTTATACAACTTATTTTTATAAACTCCACAACATTGTTGCTTTAAAGTTATTTTTTATTGTGGTGAAATATATATAACATGAAACTTGCCATTCTACCCACTTTTTTTTTTTTAAGATTTTACTTATTTATTTGAGAGAGAGAGAATGAGTGGTGAGGAGGGGCAGAGAAGAGGGAGAAGTAGACTCCCCGCTGAGCAGGGAGCCCGATGCGGGGCTTGATTCCAGGACCCTGAGATCATGACCTGAGCCGAAGGCAAATGCTTAACCGACTGAGCCACCCAGGAGCCCCTGAACCACTTTTAAGTGCACAGTTCAGTGGCATTAATTATAGTCACCTTGTTGCACAATAATGACCACTACCTCTCCAGAACTCTGCAATAAATTCTTTACAAAAAGAGATGTAAAGAATAAGAAAATCGGGCGCCTGGGTGGCTCAGTCGTTAAGCATCTGCCTTCGGCTCAGGTCGTGATCCCAGGGTCCTGGGATCGAGCCCCACGTCAGGTTGGCTCCCCGCTCCGCGGGAAGCCTACTTCTCCCTCTCCCACTCCCTCTGCTTGTGTTCCTTCTCTCCTTGTGTCTCTCTCTGTCAAATAAATAAATAAAATCTTTAAGAATAAGAAAATCTTTTCTATTCACCAATGTCGTTTGCAGTGCTCTTCCTTCTTTTGCATAGATACAGATTTCAAACTAGGATTATTTTTCTTTGTTTGGAAGAACTTCCTTAAACACGACTTGTAGTACAGGTTTGCTAGTGATGAATTCTTTCTGCTGCCATCTTTATCTGTGTTCCCTGTACATAACATGTACTCTCTCTGGCTCCTTTTTAAGATTTTCTTTTTATCACTGGTTTTAAGCAATTTGATTTTGATGTACCCTGGGTGTTGTTTCCTTTGTATTTCCTGTGCTTGGAGTTTATTTTTGTTTCTTGTTACTGAGGGCTTACAGTTTGCATCAAGTTTAGAAAAATCTCAGGCATTGTATCTTCAGCCCTTTTTTCTGTCTTCCCTTCCTCCCTTTTCTGCTTCCGGGATTCCAAATAGATGCACCTGAAGTCGCCCCACGGCTCACGGAATGCTCTGCTCATTTTATTTCAGTCTTTTTTCTGTGTTTCATTTTGGACATTTAAGTTGATGTGTTTTCAAGTTCACTAATCTCTCCTCCCACAATATCTGATCTTCAATAACCACACTGTTTTAGCTGTCAGTTGCTGTTGGGAGAGGCTGAGAATTTTTTATACCATCTAGAAATGGCTCCTTTTTAAAACAGTTCTGTCCTCCGTTTGCATTTTACTACTTAAGCAGCAAGAAGAGATCAGGTGGCACCTTGAACACTGCTTGCAAATCTTGCACTCACTGGCATAGCCCAGATTTCTACTAATAGTCTGTTGAAGGCAGTTCAGGTGCGCTCTCCTCCAAATCCCCGCAGTTTCCGCCCACTTCCTAGTTTCAAAGCCACACCCACTACTCCCGGGTATTGGTTAGAGCAGCATCCCGCCCTCAGTACCACCCTTGGTATTGGTTCTGTTGCCGTGTTAACTATATGTAGCCAGGACCACTATTCATCTCCAGAACCTAGCAATCAATTCTACTTTTTTAAAAAAAAAGGACATGTAAATAATAGGAAAGTTTTTTAATTTAAAATTCAGTGGCTTAAAATGACATTTACAATCTCATTGTTTCTGTGCCTCTGGAATCCAGGAGTCCAGGGCCTCAGCTGGGTCCTCTGGCTCAAGGTTTCTCACAGGCTGTAATCAGGGCTAGGTCAGGGCAGCAGCCAGCGCAAGGCTCAACTGGGGGATGACCCGTTTCCAAGCTCACTCATGGGGCTGTTGGCAGGATTCAGTCCCTCCAGGGTTGTTGGGCGAGCCACCTGCCGCGTGGGATTCTCCACAGGGCAGCTTGCTTGCTCAAAGCAAGCAAATGAGGAGTGTCAGAGAAGAGTACGGAAACAAGATAGAAGTCAAAGTCTTTTGTAATCCGATCTTGGAAGGGAGAGCCATCTCTTTTGATAGATTTTATCCATTAGAAGCAAGTCTGTACTTCTAGCTCACCTTTAAGGGAGGAGATTATACCAGGGCCTGAATGCCAAAGGTGGGATAATGGGAAGCCATTTCAGACGCTGCCCAAGACACCCATAAAGTAGATTTTTCATTTTAGACATTGTAGTTTTAACCTCTGGAAGTCTGACATGGGTTTTTATATCTTCTATGTCAACATGTTGAATTTTTCTGGCTTTGTGAGCATCTGAAACACAGCTACAACTTTTTTTTTTTTTTTTCTGCCTTTCTCTTTTAATCATCATGAACAGGGTTGACTAACACTGCAGTGTGTCCTTGCTGGCTGATAGCTGATCTAGGCCTTGGCTTTTCAAACTGCAGTTGATCAACTGGGATATGCTTCAGCTGAATCTGCTCTTTGGCGCTTCTCTTTAATCGTCTTCTCCTTAAATGGGTTACTTTCTTACTAGGAAAAAAAAAATGTTCCGCCTCTGGAATTAACGTTGAGGAGTTCTGCTTGTTCTAAAAGTTGACTTTATCCTCCCTTCTCAAGCATGCTCTGTTTGGCCTGATTGACACAGCGCATGTACTGGCTGGCCAGAGCAGAGCAGCTGAGGGTCTGCTGGGTATTCTGGCGGTAACACTGGAGAATTTTGGCCTGCAGATCAGCACAGACAGGATGAAACTCATACCGCTTGAACTTTGCTTCCACTTCTTCAGCAGCTTTCTGATATTGTTCAGTGGTGACTTTGTAGAATTCTGAGCTCCTCTCCTCCAGTCTAGCCAGCTGCTCTTTGTAGAACGCATCCTGCTTCTTTATCACTCGATCTTTCTCTTCCAGCTGCTTAGCCAGGTGCTTTGCCTTGGCTCATTCTTCTTCACTTGATATTCTCTCTCGAGGAATAGCTCTGGTTAACTGCTCATTAGCAAAAGCCCTCTCTCGGTCCAGTTCTTTGCCTTGCTTTAATCATTTCTGATTTTCAGACTCTTTCCTGGCTTGCTCCAACGCCAGCTGCTCAGCCACTCTTCTCTTCAATTCTTCATCAGAAACAGAATGCCGCTGAGACTTCGAACCAGATGGAGAGGTTTCCTTCATACGATCAATCACATTTTCCGAAAGCCGGATGCCCTTCACCACGGTGATGTTCTCATTCTCGTCCGCCTCGAAGGTGACCCGGCGGGTGCTGGAGGTCCCACCCATGGTTCCGGCTTCTGCCCCCGCAGAGACCTAGCCCGGACGCACGAGCACTTCAGGCCCCACGCGCACACACGCGCGCGGAAGCGCCCGGACCCTTGCCTTGCAAGGCGGGAGCAAGGCCACGACCCCAAGAAGCCACAGCTACAACTTTTAATGGCCTGTGTACTAATTGTATCATCTGGGCTATTTCTGGGTCATTTTATTTCCCTTTTCATTATGGGTTGTATTTTACTGGCTCTTTGCTTGCCTGGTAACTTTTTCTTTTTTAAGAGAGAAAGCATGCATGAGTGGGCAGGGGGGGAGTGGGGGGAGGGGCAGAGGGAGAGGGAAAGATTCTTATGTAGACTCCACACCTGGGCGCCTGGGTGGCTCAGTTGGTTAAGCGACTGCCTTCGGTTCAGGTCATGATACTGGAGTCCCAGGATCCAGTCCCGCATCGGGCTCCCTGCTCAGCGGGGAGTCTGCTTCTCCCTCTGACCCTCCTTCCCTCTCGTGCTCTCTCTCATTCTCTCTCTCTCAAATAAATAAATAAAATCTTAAAAAAAAAAAAAGTAGACTCGACACCCAGCACGGAGCCTGATACAGGTCTCAATCTCACGACCCTGAGATCATGACCTGAGCTGAAATCAGGAGTTGGAAGCTTCATCGACTGAGCCACCCAGGCTCCCCAACTGCCTGGTAATTTCTGATTGGAAGTCAGACATGAGGAATTTTACCTTATTGGTTGCTGGATATTTCTGTGTTGCAGCAATTAGCTTTGTTCTGGGACACAGTAAGTTACGGGCAGTTGGATCCTTTTGGGTGGCGCTTTTAACCTTTGTTAAGACAGGACTGAGGCAGCGGTACTTTAGTTCTCACTTCACACACTGCTGAGGCAGAACCTTGCTGCATGTTCTACTAGATGTCCTGTGAATTAGGAGGTTTCTCGCTCTGGCTGACAGGAACAGAAACAACCAGGCCCTGGGTGGGCTCCCCCAATCCTCTCAGGTGGCTCCTTCTACGCCCGGCTGACCAGTGCTCGTTGCGAGACTCAGGGGACCCTAAGCAAATCTCTGCAGTTCTTTGTGCAGCTCTCCTCTTTGGTACTTTATCCTGCCGATCCCACTTGCCGTGGGTGTGAGGGCTCGCTCAGAGCAAAGGCAGGAGGAAGGGGTAGTGGGGTGGATGGTTACCAGTAGGTGATTCACTCAATAAGCAGGCAGGGGTCAGGGCTCCTTTTAAGTCCACAAATTTTAAATTTTAAAAAAGTGTTTAAAGATTTTTTTTAACTTCTCTTAAGTCTATAAACTCTTTTCAGAACCCAATTTGGGGGCGCCTGGGTGGCTCAGTCAGTTAAGCGTCTGCCTTTGGCTCAGGTCATGATCCCAGGGTCCTGGGATCAAGTCTCGCATCGGGCTCCCTGCTCAGCAGAGAGCCTGCTTCTCCCTCTCTCTCTCCCCCTGCTTGTGTGCACGCTCTCGTGCTCTCTCAAATAAAATCTTTAAAAGAAAAAAAAAGAACCCAATTCAGAGTCACTGGGCACCTACTATACACCAGCTCCTAAGGTACAGACCAGAACTCAGACTAATAGGGTACAAATATAAAAAATGAAGAAAACCAACACCATACAGGACATAGCACAGCAGAGGCAAAAAATGGAGTATGGAAGATCTATCTGTGTCTGACCTTGTCACGGGTAAACAAAGGGGGTATCTGCGAGTCTTGTCCATGTCATATGTGGAAGGGTGGTTCTCTGCAGTTAGCAGTTTTCCAGAACACAAAAGATGGAGGATTTAACAGTCCCCGTTTTCCAGGATCACAGGGCTTGGGTGAAAGTCCACATTATCAGTAGACAGGTTACAGAACAAGAAAATGGTGAGCACCAAGGCAGGAATTTGAAAATACAAGTTATTTGATACTGTTTGAGTATCTCAAGCATATAGGTGTGACAGGAGATAAGAATCTGGAAATAACACCGGTTGTGATCAAGTCTGAGACATTTTTGTGCCAGCCCATCAGGGTGAGTAATGAGCAGGTCTACGGGCCTCGGCGCGTACATGCCTGAGCACAGGCCTCAGCTCTGGCTGCTCGGGGCCATTTCTGGGGTTTGCACAGACAGAGCGGCTAGCTGCTGGCCAGACTATGAGTGTTTGTCCCCGAAAGTCAGCTCAGAGAAGTGGCATTCGGGCAAGGTGGCTCTTGCTTCAAAGCACTCCTGACCAAATAGGTACTGTCTTCCCAGGCCTGGTCTGCAGTTGCTTCACAGAACAGCCGTACAGGCGTGTCTGCTGACAGGAAAACAGAATGTTGAGCCACGGGGGGGCAGGGACTCCAAATTTAGAGGTCTTATGTATTTAGCACAGACTTTCAACACTCCCCAGGTGTGAGCACTGTGGCCTATTAGGATAAGCCTCTTCCTCAAAATAACAAGTTTTTCTTCGTGAACTATGTGTATGCCTTGTGTGTCTCTTTTTTATGAAACAATGCTGCCTTTTTTCTCTTTCCCTCTTTTCTTTCATACCAGGAACAAGAGAGAAAAAGACATTTCTCAGAATAAAGGAACTAGCTATCAAAGACCCAAGGGCAACACACTGCTATCTGAAGAGGAACCCAGCCTCCCAACAATATCAAAAATGAATCTGGGGGAGAAATAAGAGGTCACTCTCTGAGAGAAGCCCCAACTGTAGGAGCTGTGTGTGTGGTGACTTCCTGGGCATGTGATGGCCTTCAGGTGACCTAGAAGACCTGCACACAGGGGCGCCTCGCACGGAAGGCACAGGGGCTAAACGGTGAACAGCCAGCTCTAGCCCATCCCTCTCTCTGGGCCCTGGCCGTGTCCGTGCCTCAACACCAAGCAGCAAGTCTTCTTTATCTTGGGGTGTGTCTCCCCAGTAGAGCTCCTCGGTGCCTGCTACGAAAGGGGCCTCGATGGAGGTTTGTCACCTAGACGTAGCCCATGCCTGTGACAAGGCAGAACACCTGTAATCAAGAGTGGTCAAATGCTCCATTTCTGTTTACTCAGAACATTAAGATAAATACATCTGAAATATTACAAATATTTATATACAGGAATGACTACTGCCCATGACTGAAAAGGGGTCTGAAAAAAAAAACCCAAAAACAGAGTCTCCCAACTTTTTTTAAGCCCTGGACGACCCATGAAGACAGAACCAAGTTCTTGATGCATTTTCTTCAACACAGTTAACAAGCGTTGCATCTACATCAGTTTGGCCAATGCTGGAGCAAATGAGGATGTGCAAAATCCCTATCCAGTGTTGGTGCCGAGCACCCAGCCTTCACCCACATGACCCTACGGACGTCATTTCCTGAAGCGCTTGAAAAGTGGGTGCACGTGCTTCGTGGAAGCCTTGCTCCGAGCCGAGTGGTACTCCATGTACACGGTGTCATCAGCCCCAGACATGGAGCTCATGGTGCCAAAGCGCCGAGATACCTGCAGGGACACCCAGCCCATGGTTAGTTTCCAAGGGAAAAAATACTCCTTTTGTAACATTTATAATCATAAGTTTTATAAAGCTTTTAAGTTTAATAAATACTAATTTATGAACATTTATTGACCACTTACTGTGTCTCAGGCATTGTCCGAAGCAGTTTACATGTATTTACATGTGTTAACTCATCCAATCCTCACAATTATTACAATTCCCATCTTACAGATGAGGAAACTGAAGCACAGAGAGATTAAGTAACTTGTCCAAGATCACACTCTTAAAGCGCTGGGACTTGAACCCAGGCAGCTGGCTTCAGATTCCCTATTCTTTTTTTTTTCTTTCAGATTCCCTATTCTTAGCCATAAAGCTACTGTGCCTCTCTTAATGACAATTTATAAACAGAATTTTTCAACAACAAGGGCAGCAGTCCCCCAACACCTCGAGACTCCACCATTAGGCTCTGAATCAAGTGGAAATCCAGAAAGCCCTGGGCTTGATTCTTGGCTCTACCTCTCACTGGGTGACTTTGGAGAAATACTGAATGTCTGAGCCTCAATGAACTCATCTGTAAAATGGGGACAGCCTCATCTGTCTTGACATAAGGGGTGTGAACAGAAATCACACAGGCAAGGGTCTGACCCAGAGCATGGCACACTACTTGTACCAGATTACAAGCCAAGTATGCAGACAGGCACCGAGCAATGCCCTCAACAGCCTGACCTTAGGTGGCTCACTGGTTGGTGGGAATGGCCTTAGTACACAAAGGCAAGAAATTTCCCTGAAGCATCCATCCATGGAGAGTGCCCAGAGGGCGATCCAGCCCCCACATTTGGAGGCAGATGGCCTCAGGCTGGAGGGAGAGCAGCACCTCCCCAGGGGACCCTGCTTTTCTTTCCTTGTCCCAACCATTGCTCACCTTTTGGCTCTAATATCAATTTAATTTGTTTTCAAGTACCTGACAAAACTGTAGTTTTCTCTGGAAGGGCTGTTAAGAACTCCCCATAATGTTACTTTCATTAATTATACCATACTATATTGGCCTAGCACATGGTAGTGAATATTCAGTAAGTATCTGCAGAATAAATGGAAAGTTCACTATTTTCAGAGAACTCTAAATGTTTCAAGATAATAGTCAAACTACCATGTGAGCTGATCCTCAGACCCACCCTACAGGCTGGAAGGCCCAGCTCTATTACTGAAGAGGGGGCCAGAGCTGAAGTGACCTGCCTGAGGCCCCAGACGGTGGGCCCAGGCACAAGAGCCCCTCCCACAGCCACCCTGCTGTAAGCCTGGGGCCGCCTGTGCCATCCCGGGCCCCACCGGCAAGGCGCTACCAAAACCCGAACCAGACATGAGGTGAACGGCGCGGGAGGCCAGCTACAGTGGCCGTGGACTTGGCCACGGGAAACAATCTGTAAGGAAGGAAGGAGGCGCACCAAAGGGCTAATGGGGGCTGTTTCTGTTACTCTCTTCTCTCCGGCCCCCTGGGCTTTCCAAGTCGTCACAGACGTCACCCGTCTAAGACGTCACCCAGGTGCGCACACGCACACACACACAACTAAGTACATGTGCGCACACAAGACTTCTGTCCTTCGGAAGGACGGACACCTGCAGCCTCGCCCACTCACTCACCTGGCTGGATCTGGAGGCAAACTCCCCTGCCACCACCTCCTCCTCGGCATCCAGGTCGGTGGCCGCCAGGACTTTCTGTAAGAGCTGCTGCTGCTCTTCCCTCGTCGAAAATGCCAGCTCTTCTTCCTCCAGGCCAGCAAGCTTTGTGATCACCTGCAGAGCCCAACGCCGCAGGCCCCATGTCCCCTTCTGTTTGCCCGCCCCCAGGCCCAGCTGAGCAGGCGCCCAACCTCGGAGAGCTCCTCCCCGGCATTCCAGAGACCAGCTTGGGAGCCCCCTGCAACGCAGGGCTCAACTAGTGACTGCAGGGCAGGAGAGCTGAAGGGGATTCCAGAGAAAGCTACTCCAACAGCAGATACAGGATCGCTTACAGAAGATCACTGGGGGCCTCGGCGGCTCTAAAATGTCCCTTCTGGCAGTTTTCCAGCCTGCACCAGATAAAGGAAGGGACCAAAGACAGGCATGGCCTGCTGCCCGAGGGCAGGGTCTTCAGCTTCCCGGGCTCGGTCGCCAGGGCTTCCAGTGGGAGGGAACACTTAGAAACGAGATCCTCTCCAGGTGGATTTACAAGATTTTTTCTAAGAGAGAGGTTTGGTTTTCCTTTCTTTGGGGGTAACTTACTACACAGCCTACCTATCCCTAAGGAAAGCCTGGGCTGATGGTGTAGAGAAATCTTTTTGTCCCCCTTTAATTCTTCCCATCGTTTTAATTGAAAGAAAAGTCCCAGAAGTAGGGACGTGGCTGAGCCCTTCAAGTGGCCACAGACCCGGAACACAGATACCGGGCATTTCTGCCCTGGCCCGACCACCCCTCTGGGAACTCCGGGGTCAGGATTCTGGGAACTCTGATCTGGCTGCTCTCAGCAGGCAGTGCTGAAGGCAAGGCCAGGAAGGCAAAGACTGCTCCGCCCAACACAGACCATCACACGCCCACGTGCCTTTCTGCCCAGCTCTCCTTTCGAAGAACCCAGAACACTCCCTCATTTGGTTCTTGTCTCCTCCTTGACTCTCCCAGGGATCAGGAGGTATGAATGCTGCCATCATTTACAGATACATAAACAGGCCATCATGCAAATCCTTCAAAATATGGTCAAGTATCCTGTCCTCCAGCTCAGCATGAGAAGTCTGAAACTGTCACTGCTTCTGGCTAAGGAAGGAGGGGCTGGACAGCCCTGACCTCTTGTCTGCGGCTAATAAAGGGAACTCACCAACTTGTAAAAAGACGTGATCAAAAGCATCTGAAAAGGCAGCCTGTAGTCTTTTGTAAACCAAGAACCTGGGAACCTGCATGTTCTAGGGACATCTTTTCAGTTCTCTGCTTCCAGCACCCCCATCCACTCCCACAAATAAAAATCTTTAGGGGCACGAAAGCCTGACCTGAACAGGAAAGAGAGCAAACGCGCCAGCTGACGGAGGTCAGCCACAGCTTCAGCAGCCCCAGAACTGTCCGACTGCCCGTCCGTGGCATGCGGACAGCTCTGGCGTGAGGCCCGCTGAGGCCCAGGCTCGCAGCTGACTAAAGGAAGGGCTCCCCCTGGGGGGGTGCCCCATCACAGCCTTCCTCGTTCACATTACAAATCAGGTCTGTGGGCAATGGGAAGTCCTAAGGCTTGGGCTGACTGCCATTGCTGGCGTAGGAAAGTAACTCAAGGGGCTCAGAGTAGCATAGCGCTGGCCACAGCTCTGGGACATCTCAAGTCCTGCGAGGCTAGCACATTTTCCCACCGACAACTAACACTCTTTTGGCAAGACAACTATAAAATGTAAACAAGTACAGAACCAAGCCCCTTGCTTCAGAGGCCCCATTCTTTGACCAGTCAGTGGGAAGCTAGGTGCTGCACAATATTTTCCCTCAAAGTCCCCGGCAATTCATGCCGAGAGGAAGGGAATCTGAGGCAGGGCTTCCAATGCCCTAACGTTCTGTGCCTGTCTGAGCTCTGTCCCACACTGGGGCCCACAGCAGTTCCTACTTCTCTTAGAGGCATGGGTACCAAAAAAGCCCTGGTTCTATTCTGACCGGAGATCAATAAATACATACCTTAAAGCTATAACCCTGATCTACCAAAAACCTCTGCCGCTTGGTGGAGTAAGCCATTTCCTGTGTGTCCTGGGACACCAATGAGTAGAAGAAGGCATTGTACTCCTCGGCAACCATCCCTTAAGAGAGGAAAGGAGAAAGGACAACATTAGCTGTTATAGTGCCAGGAACCGAGGGTCCAGGGCTCAAAAGTAAGTATAGCTGACCCCTGAACAACACGAGAGTTAGGGGTACCGACCCCCCGCACAGCTGAAAATCCACATGTAACCTCTGACTTCCCCAACACTTAACTACTCATAGCCTACTGCGGACTGGAAGGCTTACCAATAACATGAACAGCTGACTAACACCTATTCTGTATATGTGTTACATAGTATTTTTAACATAAAGTAAGATAGAGAAAACATTAAGAAAATTGTAAAGAAGAGAAAATACACTTACAGTATTGAACTACAGTTATCAAAAAAATCCCTCACAGTTCAAACTCGTGCTATTCAAGGGCCAGCTTTGCAGTCAGGGGGCTAACGGCCCTGACTCTGCTCAGGCACTTCATCAAAATTAAAAACATTTGTTTTTTGTTTTTTTTTTTAAGGTTTATTTATTTATTTGACAGCGAGAAACACAAGGGGAACACAAGCAGGGTGAGTGGGAGAGGGAGAAGCAGGCTTCCTGGCCGAGCAGGGAGTCCAATGTAGGGCTCGATCCCAGGACCCTGGGATCACGACCCGAGCCCAAGGAAGGCGCCTAATGACTGAGCCACCCAGGCACCCAAAACGTTTGTGCTTTAAAGGACACCCCCCCACGAAAGTAAAAAGACAACCCACAGAATGGGAAAAGATATTTACAAAGCATGTATCTGATAAGGGATTTGTATCTGGACTATATAAATAACAATTACAAATCAATAATGAAAAGACAAATGACCCAATTATTAAAAGGGCAAAGAATCTGAACAGACATTTCTCCAAAGAAAATCTATAAATGGCCAACATCCCATGAAAAGCGCTCGACATCATTAGTCATCAGGGAAATGCAAACCAAAATCACAGTGAGGTACCACCTGGCACTCCCTAGGATGGCCAGAATCAAAAAAGATAATTACAGCAATTGTCAAGGATGTAGAAAAACTGGATTCCTCCTACACTGCTGGTAACAGTGTAAAATGGTGTGGCCATTTTGGAAGATAGTCTGGCAGCCTATTAAAATGTTAAACAGAGAGTTACCATAGCTGACCCAACAATCTCCTCCTAGATATATACCCAATAGAATTGAAAGCATATGTCCACACAAAATTTGCACATGAATTTCATAGCAGCAGTATTCCTAAGAACTGAAAAGTGGAAACAACGCAAGTGTCCATCAACAGAAGAACGAATAAACAAGATGTGGCATGTCTGCTCAATGGAGGATCATTCGGCAATAAAAAGAAGGAAGTACCAGGGCCCCTGGGTGGCTCAGCTGGTTAAGCGTCTGCCTTCAGCTCAGGTCATGATCCCAGTGTCCTGGGATCAAGCCCCGCATCAGGCTCCCTGCTCCGCGGGGAGTCTGCTTCTCCCTCTCCTCCCCGCTTGTGCTCTCTTCACTCTCTCTCTCTCTCTCAAATAAATAAATAAAACCTTAAAAAAAAGAAGGAAGTACTACTACATGCTACTATGGAGGACCCTTTTGAACACATGCTAGTCAAAGAAGGCAGCCACAGAGGGCCCAGACTGCATGATTCTGTATGTATGCAATGTCCAGAACGGGCACGTTTATCAAGGTAAAACTAAGAGTCATGACTGCCTGCAGTTGGGGCTAGGAGGCAAGGAGAAAGGAGTGACTGCCAGTGGGAAAGGGTTTATTTTTTGGAGTGATGAGAATATTCTAAACATAGCCTATGGTGATGGTGACACACTTTGCAATTATATTAAAAACCACTGTGGGCACCTGGGTGGCTCAGTCGGTTAAGGGTTCAATTTGGCTCTGGGTCATGATCTGGGGGTGATGAGATCGAGCCCCAAATTGGGCTCCGCACTGGGTGTGGAGCCTGCTTAAGATTCTCTCTCTCCCTCTCCCTCTGCCCCTCTCCACCCCACTGTGCACACATGTGTGCTCTAAAAAAAAAAAAAAGAAAAGAAAAAACAAAAAAATTGTACTCTACCGATGAACCACATAAATGGTACAGTAAATCTATCTCAATAAAGTTACCAAAAAAAAAAAAAAAAAGGCTGAGAGAGAAAACCTAGGACAGAATCATCACAGAAACTAGGACAGAGATACTGCAGCCTATAAAAGCTGATCCTTCTGGACAATCCAAAGATTTTTGCTTCACAGTTCAATTGTCAGCAGGTTCCGTATCTGTGTACTGCCTCTGAATTCAACTATTTCTTAGTCTTATAAGAGCTCAGAGATGCAAGAAAGCAGCCAAATACCTTATATCAAATAGTATTTTTTTAAAAAAACAAAATTCTACTCAAATTCAAAGTGGTTTTCAAGTTAGATTTGTTTCTTTTTTGGAAGGTGGTGAGTAAGGCAAAAGTTACGAGTTACGTTCACATATGCTAGGGAGATTCTATTCCTGTCAGCTTATAAAAGCTGCCATTTATCCAGCAGCCTCCTATACTGTTACATAAGGCTTACTCCTCACAACAGCCCTGCAAGACAGGATGTACTCCCACTCTGCATGGAAAAGCAAGACTCAGAGGGGCAAACTACCTGCCCAAGGTCCCAAGGTTGGCCTGGTGCCCACATGCATGCTCTTTCTACTAATGTGCCCTGCCTCTATATTAAATACAGTTAGCTCCCTCTTACCCAAATTCTAACATGGTACGATTCCAACCTACACCCACCAACCCTGTTTCCGGACACCCTAGCAGTCCAGCTGTCTCCTAAGAAAGGAAAGCGAACACCCCGAGGACAAGGCCTGTGTCCCTGTCTTAGGGCCTCCCTGGTCCCAGGAGGAGGGGCGCCACCATCTCTAAGCAGCAGCGCCAGTGCCTGTCACGCCCACTGTTAGGGTCTGGGCCCTTCGACCACAGTTATGAGGCACAGACTCCGACCTCCTGCATCCTCATGCACTGAGCATGCGACAGCCCGGCCGCAAGCTGCCGCCCAGGACAGGGCTCTTCCCAGGTGCTGTGTGAGGCAGCTAGCCGCGGCTGCCCAAGCTGCTCCTACCACGCCCTCCCCTTACTCTGGACTCAAGGTCCAGGCTCCAGGTCCTGGACATCACTGGTGGCCCAGCTCTGCTTTCTCCTGCTACGTCTACACCATGCACACCGCGCTTCTGGTTCCTCTTACAATCTACCATTACAAGCACTCAGCTGAGCGGATATCCATGTGAACCAGGCAGCTGCCAGGGAAAATATGCACACAGTAACCCCAAGGCATGGAGATAATACGAGCCAGGCAGACCTTGGTCCTTGCTCTGGGATCCCTCACTGCAGAGTCTACTAGGCCCAGGGGTGCGACCTCGCCACTGTGAACACACAGGCAGCTTCCCAACCAACGTGGTTCAAAAGGAAAGACTTTCGGGCGCCTGGGTGGCTCAATTGGTTAGGCGACTGCCTTCGGCTCAGTTCATGATCCTGGAGCGCGGGATCGAGTCCTGCATCAGGCTCCCTGCTCGGCAGGGAGTCTGCTTCTCCCTCTGACCCTCCCCCCTCTCATGTGCTCTCTTTCTCTCAAATAAATAAATAAAATCTTTAAAAAAAAAAAAACAAAAGGAAAGACTTCCTGGAGCAGAAGGGGTAAGACCACCTTTACCTTTTTTGGCTCGGAGCACTCGCCCCAGCCTCTGGGCCTCTTGCCGCCGGGAGCCACCATGAGATGAGATCTGAATGAGAACATTTGCTTCTGGCAGATCAAACGATGTGTCGCCCACCTACAGAAATGAAACAGCCGTGAGTCTAGGCAGGTTTTTTATTTGGGACAGAAAGAAAAAAAAATCAATTGGCCCTGAACTTAAATAAGCTCTCTAGATAATTGAGAAAGATAATCACCATCCTCTTCTCTCTGTACCAGATGCAGGCAGGCCTCTAGGACCTACTGTGAATTCTCTGGAGAGCTATCCTCAAGAAGCCATCAGGACCCACAGTGCCCACCTGTTATCTCAGCGACACTGCCAGTACGGGCTACTGGGGCCTAGTGACGAGCGGGCCCTATCAACAGACACTCTCTGTAAATGATCCCTCTTCTTTTTTTGCTACAGAAACATGCCTTAACAAAATCATTCACACTCTCAACTGGAGGCCACTGAAACCACCAGCACGTGCGGGACACATGACCTGGTAGGGGCCACTGTCCACACTGGGCTGGATCTGGCTCTGGGTAATGGCCTCTGCTTGAGGGTTCCAACCACTGAGGTTCCCAAGCACACATCAAAGTTTGGCACTTACTGACCCAGCCATGATCACTTTATTAGTAAATCTCATTTATTTTCAGCTTTGGGTCTGTTCTAATCTGAATGACTGCTCTACACTGTTGGGCCACAGCTTCTCCCGCTGGGCCTTCATGAGTTTGCATCGTGCTTACCTTGACCACCCACCATCAAGGCACACGAGGAGCCCGGAGAAAGGCCGCCTGAAGCCCACAGCAATCTCTAACTCCACAAAGAGAACCTCATCTGAATGCCTACTTTGGCCACAATAGGTAATGAAAATTTCCCCCTTAGATAAATAAAATATAATTTAAAATTCCCATATCCCCAAAAGAAGTGGGAAAAATCTCAGTCAAGCAAAGAGACTTTATAGATCATCCACAGTACATTAAACCCTGCATCTGCTCCTTCTGCTACCCATCAGGAAGCATTCTGTCTCCAGACACAGAAACACGGGAATGAAAACTGACACATCACGTCCCTTCAACAAACATGAATTCACTGTCTAGAAATCCCCGTGCCCCCCTACCCCGGGGGGTGCTGGTACCTCACCACCACCCTGCATGCCACACAGACCTTGGATATGAAGATGGTGTTGATTTTGGGGTTGTGCTTGAAATTCTGGAGAATTTGCATCCTCTCTCCTTGGGATGTAGGACCATAGATATAGGGTCTAAAGAAGAATGAAGCTGCATTAGGAAGGCCACAGAATCACCCCTTCAATTATCCTGAAAGCACATTAGAGGGAAAGGGAGCTCCTGCAAGGTTTCTCTCTTCCAGGAAGCCCTCCATCATGCAAGAATATCAGGAGAAGGCCCATAAAAATGAGTGGCTACAGACCCTCCGCCAACATTCTGGTCACCACTCTCTTCAGGATTCCCTCCTTTACTTTTTCCTTTTCTCTTTGTTTATGCTTTTTCCTGAGTCAACATCCCTCGATCTAAGCTTCATGTCGACACAAGTAGTGCTAGCACAGAATCCAGGTGGTACTGTGGGCTAGTGAGGACATTGCTGGTGATTCCTGAGAAGCTTTTTCTAGGTGCAGGGCCGTAGCTGGGATGCTAGCTCAGTCATCCTTGCCTTCCTGGCTCCTGGTCCATAGAGTCTGACCCCGGCTCCACAAGAGTGCTCACTCGGCCTGCCACTCCTGATGCCAACTTGCTCCCACCTTCGGAGCCCAGCTCAAAGATGGTGCCCCACCAAAGCAGCACAACTCTAGACCCTGATCCCTGGGCTGAGGGTGACCGGGCGCCCTTTTCTATTTGCTCTGACCTCGGAGTCTGACCACCTGCTCCTCTGTCTCACCTGGTTCCTGGCCCTGGGGCCACAGAACCAGACCTTTAGATCCTAAGAAGTTCCTGAGAACTTCCAGAGAGGAAGAGAAAAAAACAAACAAACCGAGCACCTTCTGCACTCCGGCTTGGGGAAGAGAAGCCGCCTGGCAGCAGCTCCAACTTTTCAATTCTTACTTGTTCAGCCTAATGGCATATTCCTTCAGGGCAAACACGTTGTCAGCAAAGACAATAATCTTGTCATTCCTCCTTTCATGAAACTTGATCAGAAACTGGCAGGCTCTGAATTTGTTGGGGTTCATGGTGTACAGCAAGATTCGTTTCTTGGTTTTAATTGCCACATACTCCCGGTAAAACTCGGGAGACATTGGGCACCAAACCTGTGACACAGTAAGAACCACAGGTCAGTTTGCAAGTTGAAACATCACATGATTAGAAACTTTCGAAGACCATTCACTTAGCAGTACTAGCTTTAAAATAAATCAAAAAGGGGTGCCTGGGTGGCTCAGTCGGTTAAGCGTTGGACTCTTGATTTCGGCTCAAGTTGTGCAATCGAGCCCCATGTCAGGCTCCAAGCTGGGCATGGAGTCTGCTTAAGATTCCCTCTCCCTCTGCTCCTCCCCATCTCCTTTCTAAAAAATTAAAAAAAAAAAAAATATATATATAGCCAAATCAAGTACCCAATGGTGAACCAGGACACTCATATTTCTCTAACACATAGATTCTTAAATGTTATCGATATCCAGGGAATTACTTTTACACCAGCTCCAAGTAAGGGAAATCAGGTTCTCAACCAGTGGTCCAAGTAATCCCTCCTGTTTAGACCACCCCTTCACACACAAGTCCACGCACAGCACTGCTATGGAGAACCACACACACAAACTTCCTAGCTCTGTTGTTGAGTCAGCCTAGCAACGACACCCTAGGAGTAATGAACACACCTAGCACCTAGATCCTGGTTTGTAAATTTCATTCTCTACTAAAAGGGCACCCTGGAGAAACGGCTGATTCCAGGGCCAGGGTGGGTAGGGAAAGTACCAGCTGAGTCTAAAATATCTTCTGTGCCAGAAAGCAAGGAAGTGCTCAAAGAATGATGGGGACATGTCAAACGGATACAGAAGCCAGCTGGATGGGGGTCCCATTGGTTGCATCGGAGACAATTTGATCATTCGAATAAGAATGACAATAACACTGTTGAGGGCCTCCTCTGTGCTGGGCCCTGTGCACGGGCTGCAGGCAAGGTAAAGGAAGCTCAGACAAATATACTGAAGTGCCATGGGTTTTAAAGGTCTCAAGCCTGTGAACACACAAAAAGGACCCTCTGGAAACTTTGTACTGAACAGGCCATAAAGCCTATCCTGACAGGCTTGGAATTCTGTGACCAGTGCCACTTCTGTGTGATCATCACAGACCCTTTCTTCACGCTGCAACCGATGTGGAATTAGCTGCCTTCGTTACATGCCGAAACAGGGCTGAGCTCAAATTCCTAGGTTTTGCTGCTGCTGCTGCCACTGTATTTTCTGGTTCCTCTCAGGCCACGTCCTGTCCGTGTCCACATTGGAATTTCTCATTCTTTACCAAAAAAGCAATTCTTTTTTCACAATAAAATCTTTAAAATTATGCATTTCAAAGAACACGAATGTTCCATAAACATACGAAACAATACTCAACATCCTTAGTAAACAGGAAAACACATATTGAGATCATAAAGGAATACCATTTTCATACTTACCACGTCAGCAAAAATTAAACAAAAATAAAACTATTATGTGTTGGAGAAGATGTGGAAAAACCTCGCTCACCCTTGATGAGAAGGTCAACTGACACAAAACAGTTTTCTAGGATGCAACTAGTAAAGTGAACATCCACATAGCCTTTGACCCAGAAATGTAATTCCTAGGTGTATCTGCCAGAACAGTGGACTTCACAGTTGAATCATTTTACATCACAAACTAAACATTCATATGCATGAACGGTTTTATTAAATAACATACCCTTAATGTGAACAACACTGCTTTAGAAAAAATTACCCAAGGCCCCAAAAAACAGGTATAAAAATATTTGCAGCAACACTGTCATAACAGAAAAAAAAAAAAAACTAAGCTCCAAATTTACAGAAACAAAATAAATCAGTGGCTCCCTAGGGCTGGGAGCAGAAACAAGGATTCATTGCAAATGGGCATGAGGGAAATCTGTGGCGGTAGGAAGTTCAATTCTAAAACTGGAGTGTGAGGATGGCTACAGAACTCTTTACACTTACTAAGACCAAAGGATTTCTAAATCATAGTATTTACTTACAACAGGTGAATGTTAAGAAACATGAAGTTATACCTCGATAAAGCTAATAAAAAGACAACTTAGCAACCTAAATGTCTGTCAACATTAGAGATTTTATTTTAACTTGCTATGTAATATTCCATTATATATCAAACTGTAGTGTATTTGTACAATGGAATACTACAGAGCAATTCAAAAAAATGAACTACAGCTACTTGCATCATCAAAAAAGTAATACATTCTGCAAGAAATAAAAGCACTAAGAGACATATATAACCAGGTTCTATTTATATACATATACTTTTTTTTTTCTAAGATTTTATTTATTTATTTGAGAGAAAGAGTAAGCAAGCACAAGCAGGGGAGGAGTAGAGGGAGAGGGAGAAGCAGACTCCCCACTGAGTAGGAAGCCCAATGTGGGGCTCCAAACCGGGACTCCACACCGGGACTCCAGAATCATGACGTGAGCCAAAGGCAGACGCTTAATTGACTGAGCCACCCAGGCGTCCCTAAAGACTTTTTTTTAGGGCAAAGCTAAACAAAAGAGGTGAAGGAAATATACACAGAAGATAAAATAATAAAGGGAAGCAAGAGAGTGACAAACCCAAGTTCCACAACAGTGGATACCCTGGCAGGGGGAGGAGAGAAGCAAGTGGAGAGGAATAGGGGGCCTCAGAGATTTCTGCAACACTCTACTTTGTAAAATGGGTGCTGATTATGAAGATGCAACTACAGGGCAGGCAAGTTTTCAGCAGAGCAAGTCCACCTGCACAGGTTCTTCATACTCACCTTTACCCGAGAGGCCCCCTCTGCCCTTTCACCCTAGCCAGTGAGTGACAGTCACTTCAAGGTGCCAGAAATGATTTTTGTTGTTGTTCCTTGTAAAGAGACTTACCTTTGAACATGTACTTTTAAGCATTTACCCGTGCAGGTATTCACTGCAGAATAAGATCGGGACAATGTGTTTCCCAGTATGTTCAGAAATAAAATGATCTAGGCCACAGGTGCCTTCTGGGGGCATCAAATCCAAGAGGCTTGGACACTGGGGTGGCCTGGATGGTTGCCCACGCAGGACTACCCAAGAATCCCTCAAGGGTGAGGGTGGGTGGGAAGAGCCTGAGGTGCTCCCTCCCAGAGGAGAGGAGCATGGATTTTGGAGTCAAACCAGCCTGGATTAGCATCCCGACTTGCGCACTTACTGATTGTGTGCCCCTGGAACGTTGATCCTGCAGAGTGGGAAGAACACTGCCCACCACATGGGGGGGGGGGGGGCCTGAGACAATAGGATGAAGTGGTGGCACTTTTGCGTAAGTCCTGACCTGTGCATCTGCCCGTGGGGAGGTGACCTGATCCCTTTCCCCTGAACCCTGGGGGGAGTCCCTCCCTTGGAGACAGTGCTGGGAAGAAGCCGGCTACCTCAGCACACTGGACTTTGGCTATGTAGCCGTTGTTCTGCAGCTCCATCCAGTTGGCTTCGTAGAGCTTGGGCCCAATCAGAAAATTTAAATCGACGATTTTGTCATCTTCCCGGACGAGGGTTGCGGTCAAACCCAGCTTGCAGTGGGCCTGCACGATGGTGAGCACCCGTCGGAACATCTTGGCTAGGGAGACAATCAGTGCATTCACACCGTCACTTTTTTAAATGCTCAAGGACTACACACAGCCTTGTGACTTCACACTGACCTGGGACACTATGGAGGCTAACCCCCTGAATCACAGGAATCTGGCTCTAGACAAGAGTGACTAGGCAAGAACACTTAATCACCACTTTCAGACCTGTCCAAAAGAGGGAAGAAAAAGAGAACAAAAGGGAGAAATGGCTTTAGGGAAGCTCCAAGCTAGGGAAGCCCAGGATCCTTCCTTGCAACAGCTAAGCTACCAGGAGCCCAAATGGCAATTTGAAACATAACCTACAACACTTAAAATACCATTGAGCTCTAAACGATGCAAGGAATTTGCTCGCCCTGAAACTTATATCCAGGTTACAGGAATACGGCTGGGTAATTGGGGGATCAGAGGATAGGAGATGGATCTGCCCGGCTTCCCACCATCTTCCCAGAAACCAAGGAGACAAAAGGGAGACATGAAACCCCAGGCACACCCTGACCCTGGAAAGTCCCTTCTCCACGCTTTTCCAATTAGATTCATCTGGTCAACCAGCAACCCTGTCTTCCTCTCTTTGGAATGTTATAATTCTTTCTGATTTATCAAATTAAATAAACACGGGCGCCTGGGTGGCTCAGTCGGTTAAGCGACTGCCTTCGGCTCAGGTCATGATCCCGGGGTCCTGGGATCGAGTCCCACATCGGGCTCCCCCCGCTCTGCGGGGAGCCTGCTTCTCCCTCTGCCTCTGCTTGCCATTCCCCCTGCTTGTGCTCTCTCTCTCTCTGTCAAATAAATAAAATCTTTAAAAAAAAATTAAATAAACACATAAATGGGTATGAGACATTAATTTCAAAACACCCAACTGTGGTTTCCATGGGCTCATCTTTTAAAAATCCTAATACTCTGAAAGAAGGTTAAAATGTTTGAGTCATGCTTATCTTTTAATATAATTAAAGGTAAAGCTAGTAATACTGCAGAACCAGACGTTAACAATCTGAGGAAAGAGGTGTCACACTGCACCAGAACATAAGCCAAAAACCTAAGAACAGCAAAACAGCCGAATACTGTCTGACCCCCAAGTTACATACACTTGGAAGACAAAGACCAGAAGCACGGTTATGTCCGAGGACTGTGCCGCTCCAGAAAAGGGTAGCCAAGGACCCCAGACCAGGCTCCTCATGTCAGAAGGGCATGGGAGCCAAGGCAATGGAGACACCAACCTAATGCAGGAGCCGGGAAGGCTGCACCGGATAGCCCAGAGATTCTATCAACCCAAGGGAAGCACGAGTCTCAACCCCGCCTGGACACTCTGCAGCCAGAAAGGTCTTCCTGTGCCATCTGCCCTACAAACGGGTCACGTCCCACTACCACATTCTCTAACAGCCCTATGGCTGTCAGGAGGAAGAACTCACATACGACACAGTGCATGGCTTGACAAATTTTTACACAGGTATGTGCCTGTGGAATCACCCAGGTCAAGATAAGTGCTCTTAGCACCTGGAAGTCTCTCCTCTGACCCCTCCTGTCAATACCAGCACTCTCCCTCAACAGAACCACGATCCGACTTCAGTCACCCAAACTTTCTATAAATACAATCACAATATACACTTTGTGGGTATGACTTATTTCACTGTACGTTATGTCACAGTTGTCATTTGACATTTATTTGTGTGATTTTTTTGTCCCTCCCACTTCATCTCCAGTCCAAGCACAGTGCCTGATATTCAGTGGGTTCTTAATACTTGCTAAAATAATGAAGTTGGCACAGTGTCCTGCACGCAGTAAGCACTTAATATATACAAGTCCTGCAGTGCAAATTTCTTATTAATATAGTGACCCAATAGGACCCTTCTTGGAAGATGTATAAAACACCACAGCAACCTTTACCTTTTAAGATAGATCCCAAAGATTTATCATTCTACCTAATCCAACGTGGCAGATGTTTAACAATCAAGAAACTTACTGTGATTTACTAGAATTCCCTTATTTAACATTGGCTCTCTGGCCCAGTGAGTGTGGCCAGGCCAAGGGGCTCACAAGACTGAACTTAGAATTCTTTATGGCTGTTTGGTTCTACTCTCTTACCCAGCCAGAGACAAACTGACCCAGTGAACCAGAGAAGACACACACATAGACACCCATGGCGAGCGTGAAATTTTGTGGGGGTACACCTCTGTATCCAGGAAACCAATCCCAAGCCTGCCAGCCGCCCTCTAGGACCTGGGACACAGGCTAAAGAGGAAGATCAACATAAACTAAATACACACCCAAGGAGAAAGCCTCAAGTTTTCCCAAGCTTCAAACATAGCCTCCAACTAAACCACCACATGGCAATTCCAAATTCATCTGTAGGATGTGATTCTCTAGGTCACCAATTTCTAATCCAATCAGACGCAATACCCCCTGCTCCTTAATTTTTTTTTTAGTTTTTAAATTAGCACACAGTAAAACTGGTGGGTGGGTGGGACTGGTTCTATAAATTTTAACACATGTATAGATTCATGTAACCACTCCCATAATCAGGATACGGACCAATGCATTACCCCAAACACTCCGTTGTGCTCCCCCTGTACTGTCACACCCTCCTCAACCCCTGGCACCCACTGATCTGCTCTCCATCACTATCCTTTTGTCTTTTTAAAGGCACCATACACTATATAACCTTCTGAGATGGGTTGATTTCACTCAGCACGTACCTCTGGAGATTTATTTAAGCTGTTGCATGCAGCAACCGTGTGTTCCGTTTCATGGCTGAGTAGTGTTCCAGGGGAGGGTTGGACCCGTTTGTCTATCTGGTCACCCACTGCCGGGCACTTCAGTTGCTTCCCGGTTTTGGAGACTCTGACTAGAGCCGCTATAAACATTCAGGAGCAGCTTTTTGTGTGAACCTGAGTTTTCATTCTCTAGGATGAATGCCCAGGGGTGGGCCTGCTGAGTCATATGGCAATTTTCTAAGAAACTGCCCAACTTTTCCACAGTGACCGTACATTTTGCGACTCCCCTGGTGACACATGCTAGCTGCTCTGTCCTCTCGTCAGTACTCATTATTGTCACTAGTTTCCATTGTAGCCACTGTGATGGGTGTATAGCGGCATCTCATCTCCTGGTATTAATTTGCATTTCCCTCAGGGCTAATGATGCGAAACATCTCTTCCGATGCTTCTTGGCATCTGTACATTCTCTTCGGTGAAATGTCTATTCTTGTCTTTTGCCCATTTACTAACATCTTTGCCACTACCAGAATGTCTAACTGGCAATCAAATGAATGTGTTTAAAGCCTAACCTTCCCTCTATGGCTTTCAACATCTCAATTAATGGCCACTCCTTCCTTCCAATTACTAAAGCCAAAAACTTACAGTCATCCTTCATTTCTCTTTCTCTCAGATCCCACATCCAGCCAGTCAGCTTCATCCTCACAATACATCCAGAAGATTACCTTTATTCTTACTCTTGCTGGTACCCACCCCACCACTTCTACCCTTGTGCCTCCTCCAGTCTACTCTCAGCACAGCAGCGAGGGTGGTATTTTTATAGCCATAAATCAGATCATGTCACCCTCTGCTCAGATCCCTCAAATGGCTTCCCACCCACTCACAGTATAAGCCAAAGGCCATACAGTGACCTATGAGGTCCTACGGCATTTGGCCCACACTCTATCCTGCCTGCCCCTCTCTAACCTTGGCTTTGACTGTTCTCGTCTGTGTCCCTCCCACCACACGGGCACCTTGCTGTGCTGGACCATGCCAAGTACTCTCCCACATCAGGGCTAACACCCTGTTCCTTCAACCTGAAAGACCCCTGATACCTACCTGGCTTGCTGTGAACATCTCTAGGTATATTCAGACATCCAGGAGTGCTGGAGGGGTTCTCATTGCACCAAAAAGAAAGAATGCTAGGGCCATTTTGGCCATATTTCAAACATGAAAATGCCTCTGATTTCATTTCATTCAGAGAAATCTCAAATTTACACTTCTTAATTTATCAGGGCTCCCCCTTCATTTGTTTTATCAAAAAAGATTTGCCTAGACTACTACTCCGCAATAAAAGGGAAGACGTTGTCAATACGTTATAATATCGATATATCATGCGAAGTAAAAGCAGGCACATATAAGAAAATATGTATTATATGATTCTGTTAATAGGATGTTTCCAGAAAAGGCAAATCTACAGAGACAGGAAGCACTTCAATGGCCCCTGGGGCTGGGGGTGAAAGCACTGACTATAAATGAGTATGAGGGAAAGATTCTAAAACTGGATCATGGTGATAGCTGCACAAGTTCACAAATTAACTAAAAATCTTGAATTGTACACTTAAAATGGGTGGATTTTATCAGTGGATATTATATCAATATAGCTATTCTTTAAAAAAAAAAAGATTGCTTGCAACACTTGGAGAAGTAGGGCTTCTGTAATATATTAAGAATCAATACTTTGGGCTTCAAATAAAACAAACACCACTACGGCAAGGACTTTAGTGCTCCTGGTCCAGTTTTCATGGCACTACAAACCAGTGGGTTAAGGGTAAGCTGAGCTCCAACAGTAAGATGGAGGAAGGAGGGAAATACCATTTTCTGAATGACTATGCTGGGCCCATGATTAAGGAAGCTGTGAAGGGATACACCCATCCACCACCCACCCTCATCCCCACCCCCTCATGCTTATGACTTACTTTAAACCTCTATCCAGCAAGCCTTTCTACCAAGACGGATGTACTACACAGCAGTCCTTCCCTCAACCCAACAAGTGGAAATCAATTTCTGTCTCTGAAATGAGAGGGCAACTCAGCTCTCAGCCTGCTTACCTGGTATGGTATGGACTTCATCCAGGATCATGAGGCCCCACTCCTGAGTTTTGAGCCACTCCATGACTCGCTCAGCCTCCCAAGACCTTTTGGTGGTGTGGCCCAGCATGGAGTAGGTGCTAATGGCAATGGAGCAGCCTATGGGCTTGTCCTTGGCGTCGGAGGTGAAGCGGCAGATCTGGCTGTCGTCGATGGTGGACCACATCTTGAACTGGGCTTTCCACTGTTCCACAGACACAGCTGAGTTGCCCAGCACCAGACAGCGCTTTCTCACAGTGCATGCAGCTGTCACGCCAACCAGGGACTTCCCAGCACCTGTGCAAAACCAAAGGGCAGTGAAAACCAAGGCCAGGTTGCAATGGACACAGACAGACAGAATGACTCATCAACACACGAATCTGGGCGAATCCTCACAGCTGATGTTGTGAGGCACTTATTGCTCCAGAGCCTCTGTTTTCTTCTTTATAAAAGGAGACATGCTCAGCTCATGCCAAACACGAAAATTAAAAGAGACAAGGCCCAGTCCCTCCTGTAGCATTTTCCATGAATTCTGTTCAAACGCTGAAATCTCCAAACAAACCAGAGGTGAGAGACACTCCCATTGTTTGCCATTTTGAATGTGAGAAAATGAAAGCTGAGGACAACTTGCCCAAGCCATGGGGAGGTGGCGCTGCTGGGGCACACGGACCGCACAGAGGGCTCGGTACAAGGCAGCTGGGCTGAGAGCTCAGGATTATGGGAAAGACGGACCCTACTGGCACAGACAGAAGCAAAATTCCAGGGCTTCCAAGTTACTATCACCCACCATTTGAAGATCAAGATAAAAATCAAGCTCTTCCTTTTAAACAGCAATTCCTCTTTTACCAGGCATGTGCATCAAAATCACCCAGGGTGATTTAAAAAAAAAAAAAGAACTTGAAGGCACAGGCCTCTCCCCTGGAGATTCTAACCTCCTTAAGTCTGAAGTAGGGCCCCCAGATGAATCTGTTGTGACCTGTGGCCAAGAATGCTGGTCAGGACCTGACATGACTTAGGACAAATGCCATCAGACAGGTGCCAAGGGGGCTGTACGGCCCTTTCTTGGACGTGTACACTGTAATAAGCCATCCAGGAATAAACACGCAAAGTTTCTGTGCTAGGAAGTCCCCATATACATACAACTCACAAGACTGATTGCAAAGAACAAGACCCTAACCCCAGCGTGTAAAATAGCACCTTCCCCTCCTCACTGTCTAACCACTCACCCTGCCTCTTCTCCAGTGCCCAGGATCTGACACTTGGCTTAGTTGATCTGTTTACCCTCTGTCTCTCTACCATCAAAACAAGCTCCGTAATGTCAGAAGTGTTGTTCTATCTACCAATGCAACCCCAGTGCTGAGCTCAGAGCCCTGCCACTCAAATATTTAAGTCATGAATTAGGGAATCATCTGGACTTCGCTGCTCCCAGGTGTAATTTAGAGAAAGGTACACAAAAGAGAGTGAGGGGAAGCTGTCAGACCAAGACAGAAAAGCCTGACCCACCTTCTTCACTCAAGTGTCACTTACCACAAGGAAGGACAATGACCCCAGAACGGGCACGTCCGTTCCCAAACATCTTCCGCAAGCTCTTCTCCTGATAAGGTCTAAGGACAGCTGTGGGTTTCAGGTCAATGTTGATATCAGGGTTAACGGAATCATTCCGGAAGTCATATTCTGCCAACAAAGGGTACTCCAGGTGGATGCAACGTTTCTGGAGTTCCTCAATCATTTCCTGGGGAGTAAGCATGAAAGAGGTTTTATAATCTTAAGTCCAAAGCGTGCTCATAAACTGTACATAATCCAAGGGGCCATTTCCTACATCTCCCTAGGACTTGTGAAGACTGACACACCAGCCTGAGGAATAGGACACGCAGGACTAACTCCATTAGGAGGAACGACGCTACAGCCCACAGACACCAAAAAGGAGAAAGCAATACAGGAACAGACGGGGAACCCTCTCCCACAAACTGCAGAGTCCACGCAGGGCTGGGCCAGCTTAGGCAGGGTGCATGCACTAACCTGCTTGACTTCAAAAGACACTGTCTGGGTCTCTTCTTCTTCTTCCTCATCCTTGTCCATTTGTTCATAAAAGTCAAACAAGTCCGTGGGGATGTCAGATTTACCCTGTGGATCTGTCACCCGGGAAGTAGAAGGCCCACCACTGCCTTCAGCAGTCTTGGCAATCTGTAAGAGAAAGGCGGGATCTGGACCTCTATACGACGAGCCCTCCTGCTACCAGACGAGAGCCAAAGTTGCAAGGGGAACTGCAGCTGTAAGAAGACTATAGGGTCCCAAGGTTGCAAATGCTGAACTAACAGCCCCTGCGAGAGCTGACATCCCAAATGCTCCCACCCCCAAGGGTGACCCAGGAGGCCACCTACGGCAGACTTGCTGGTGAAGGTCTCTGTGATGAGCTCTGTAGCCTCCCCCTCAGAGTTCCGCAGGCGGCATTCCCGGATCACTGGATCCTGGAGAAGATGCTGGATGACATCAGGGTGGGAACTTTCAACGAAGTACCTGCAAGAGGGGATGAACGAGGGGACTACTGACCGGTACACCATTTCCAGAAGGTTCTGTAGCTCATTTGATCAGATGGTCTGGAAAGAGTGGTTTTGTACCTCTCTCCACTCTTACTCTCACACAGCCTCGGCCAAATCTGAGCTATGAGCTACTGGCCAAGATACAGCGAATGAGGAGCAAAATGCTGCTTTAAAGTCAAATAAGGAGGGGTCTGAGTCCCAGCTCCACTGCCAGAGGCAACAACAGTGGCCAGTGAACGAATCTCCAGTCTGGGTCACTTCACTTTGCTTATTCCTTTTATCCCCTTACCCAGCGGAGTAGGTGCTAGCGCAGACAGTCCACAGACGTGAGCTCCTTGCCCCCTTCTCTGCACAGGGTGAAAGTGCCTCGGGCCGGCCTGTCACAGAATCCCTTACCTGTTGTGCTTCAGGACCAGCTTGACTTTTCCATAGCTGACAGTACACAACTGCAAGGAGTGACATCAAACAGGCACGATTAGCAATACACGGCTCACTCAGGACACATTCATTACTGGGCACGTCTTACTACTTACCAAGTGAAGAGCTCATTTTACTTTAGGAAAGCCCAACATGCAACCCGAAAGAGGTTAGGTCTGCCTAAATTGAGCTTTTTCTTATTAATCTCTACTTTTGAGAGTAAAACCTTGCTCTTGCCTGGCTCTGATACACATCCCTTGATTTATAAAATGCTATGTAAAATCTTTCTTTTATTTTCCCTTCCCCTTTCTTCTCCATTCCCACAGGCCCCATCCTAACCCAATGGTTCATCCAGCCACACCAGCATTATTACAGCTCCCAGCACAAAGCTGGCACAGAGTAAGGGTTCTGTAATGGCTGCCTAAATTAAATGGAAAGCCTCCTGGCCTCCTCACCAATGGTCCTATTTCCCCAATGAGAATCTAAGTTTCCTGATGGAAGAGAATACAGCTAAAAGCTTCCAAGTGCCCAACAATCTTTAGGATGGAATGCAGCAGAGGTTGTGTGGTGGCCATGGAAATTCGCCACTCAGATCTCGGGCTGTGGCCTGCCCCTGCTGCTGCCCTCTGAATCTACCACTGCACTGTACCAACACCTACATTCCTGCAGGTAGCTCCCGGCCAAGACTGAGCACAGCTGGCGTGCTGATGCAGGGTTCATTCCAACAAGGTGCAGGACTTCTCCCTGGACACCTTTCCACATCACAAGAAGCGAGAACTCTCACCAAGGCTCCTGTCAGCTTCTCTGAGATTGGATGCTTTACTGTACTGGATGCCCGTGGCACTCACCTGCCACTCCAGATTTGGGGGTCTGAATCCAACTCCCTTTAGATCAGTCAAGGGCAAGAAACTCACTGTCCATCTCTTCTGAATGGCATTCACCTATCTCTCAGGACAAACCCAAGCATGTTCAACTGCTCTTCATATGGAACCCTAGCCACCTCAACACTTGGAAGTTCTTTTTGACATTCCCAAACAGAAATTGTTGACTATTGGTCCCATGCAGGTATTCGGCTCTAGACAGTTTACCAGTTATATTAGTCTACTCAGCTGCCATACAGAACACCAGAGACTGGGAGATTTAACAACAGAAATATTTCTACAAGTCCACAATCAAGTAGCCAGTGATTAGTTTCTAATTAAGGCTCTCTTCCTGGCTACCTTTTCACCATGTGCTCCTATGACCTCTTCCTTGTGCACACACAAAGGGAAAGAGAGCATGTAAGCTTTCTGGCTGACTCTTCTTAAAAGGATGCTAATCCTACTGGATCAGGGCCCCACTCTTGTGACCTCATTTAACCTTAATTATTTCCTCATTCCAAATACAATCACATTAGGGGTTACGGCTTCATTGTTATGAATTTTGGAGGGGACACAATTCAGTCCAAAACACCATTCTCTTTCAGCTGCATTCCCAAATAACCCTGGCCAAAAGGGCTGAATTAGTATCCCCAGTGCGCTAGTAACCATTGTCTCAGAGCAACGCATGGGACATGTGGCCTCAGCAAGAATACCATGCTGGATCCAGAAGAGTAGGAGCTCGGGTAATCAGTTATGCGGGCTCCCCACATGAGATCTGAATGGCATTTTCATGACTGCCACAGGCTGAGAGCGTGTAGCATCTGTCTCCACTATTACTACATTAACAAGGAAGGCAAAAGAGCTGGCCTTAGCCCCCACTTGCCTTAATAAACTGAATAATTCCATCAGGGACTCCCGTTTTGCTGAGCTTCCTGAGGTACTCAGTGATGTCACTGGTTTGCAACCCAACACTGACAGCTGCATACAGGGAGTAGGCAGTTAGTTTGTACTCATGCACATGGGTTGGTCGGCACACTGGCTCTGCGATGGCCACCAGGAAGTCTTGAGCATATTTGTAAACTGGAGAGAAGGCTTCTAAGAAGATGTGGCCATCAGGAGCCTAAGAAATACCAAATGGACACAACAGACAAAGAAATTAATGAGCTGTAAAGACTATTAGACTCTTTCCCAGATCATTATCCAGAAAAGAGAAGCTGCCCAAAAAGTCTTTAACACCCGGGATGTTTTTGTAAGCACTCTTTCGGCCAACTGTGAGACCTGTTACTTTAATCAGATACAAGGAATGGGGAGACAAGGACAGGTTTCCAAAGTCAGGAGCTGCCTCCCACTATTCTTCACAGGGAAAGCTCACCTTATTGGCTATCCTCAAGGTACCTTTTGGCCAGGTTTCAAATGAATGTAGAGTATTAATTACTTCAAGCTGAGCAAAAGAGCTGCCTAGCAAATACATAACTTCCATTAATTTTTTAAATGGAGAATTAAAATAATACATAGTAAATGGCATTTAATTCGATAAATAAAAAAGTATTTCTACGCAGGCGGTAGAAATGGAGGGAAGGTGAGTAAGAGGAAGGGCTGGAGATGACGGCAGCCCAAGTCTAGCCAGCACATGTGTGCCACACCTGCTCATTCCTATCTTGGGCTGCTCAAACAGTATGTATGAAAGCTCTCTCCAAGCCAGCAATGGAGAGTAGTACCCTGCATTTCTATTTTGGGTCCACAAAGTCTCGGTCCTGCCCTAGCTGAGGGTATGCTTACCACCCAGAGAGGCCTCGAGGTGTGGTCGTCCTTCAGCGGCATCTGCAACCTGTAGTCCTTGGCTCCATATTCATCCACTTTGGTGCCGGACTCATCCACCTGCTTCCCGGCCGCCGAGGGGACCGCTTCCTGAGAGTCGTTCCCAGGGACGTCGTCTTCATCTTCTTCTTCATCCTCGTAGTGCCGCTTCTTGGACTTCTTCTTATCTGCAGACGCGGATACACAAGTGAGCCCAGCAGGAAGAACCTAAGGCTCCCTCCTAGCGGCATTTCGAGGAAGCCTGGCAGCAGCCGTATTTCACAAACGCCACACACTCCTAGCCAAGAGCCACCTGCGTGCCTCTGGCGTGCACTCCCTCAAATGCTTCCCACCCGTCCCACGACACAGGGCGCCCAAAGGTCAAGGATCGCCCCTGGCCCAGCGGCCTGTCGCGACAGCATGTACAGGCCGCGCGCGAGACACTGGAGGATCGGCAGCCGCTGAGAAACCCGGAGCAGCTACGACACGGGACGATGGGGACGGCGAACGCAGGCAGGCCCCGGCGCGCCCGCGCCACGTCTCACCGCGGTCCCCCCGGTCTCTTTTGCCCATGGCAGCTACAGCACCAAAAAGCCGGTGCCACGGGTCCCAGCGGCGGCTCCTCCCAGGGGGACTTCCGCTTCACACCGGAAGCTCTTTCGGCAAACACACAGGAAGTCCCGCCTCTGAGCTCCGGGTCGCAGGGTGGGCGAGCAAACGTTGAGACTGCGTTTTTTCCGTGCTGCACCCCTGCCGGAGCCCGTTTTTCGCTCCTGTTCCTTCCTGTAGTTAGTCAATGAAGTATTTATTGAGCATGTTTATGGAAGTCCAGGCACTGTTTTTAGCCGCTGGGGTAGGACAGTGAACAAAGTAAGGCCCTGGCCGCCTGGAACTTAAATTCTGAAAGAGATATGGGCCGTAAACAGATAACGGCGTTAAGAGCTCCAAGAAGAAATAAAACAGGGCCCAGAGTGACAAGCAGTGCCATTCTAAATAGAGTGACCTCAGAATGCCTCTCTGTGGGGTAACTGGGTAATGGACACTGGGGAAAGTATGTGTTGTAATGAGCACTGGGTATTGCATAAGACTGATGAATCACCTGTACCCCTGAAATAAATAATACATTGTTAAGTAATTGAATGTAAATTTTTAAAAATGAAAAAAATCAGGAGAGTTCCCAGAAAAAAAAAAAAAAATACCTCTCTCGAATGACATTATTCAAGCAAAAGTTCTGAAAAAGTGAGGCAGTATCCTACAAAATCCCAAGGGGAGAAGCCGTGTGAGCCTAGGACTCCACCACACAGGTTTGACCTCTAACCGGAAGATGAGAGGGGAGCAGTGTGGCTGCAAGAAGTGGGGGAGAAGACTTAGTACCCAGTACTGTACATGTAGTTTAGTGGTTCTCAAAGTGAGGTCCCCTGGCTGCATCAACATCAGACAGAAACGTTCTAACTAAATAGAGGCACAAATGAAAAGTATCAGGCCTCACCCCAGACCTATTGAATCAAAACTCTTGGGGCACAACAGTCTTGTCCACAAGATGCTGATTGATGGTCAGGTTTGAGAACACTGATGTAGAGCCTTGTAGGCTATTGCAAAAACTTTGAATTTTATTATGAAATAGGAAACTGCTAGAGATTTTTGAGCAGAGAAATGACAATCTGATTCAATATTAAAAAGTCAATCTACACTAGCTGCTGTGTTGAAGATAGCCTTTACAAGGTCAAGGGCAGCGATTGCAGCACTCCAGTTGAGAAATGCTGGCTTTACCAGGGTGGTAGGGGTAAAGGTGATGAACAGTGGTTCCAGTGTGAATGTATTTTGAAGGTAGAGTGGGAGTTGCTGACTGACTGGATATGCAAAGTGAGATAGAGGAGTAAAGGATAACTCCCAAGATTTTTGGCTTCGGCAACTGTAAAAATGATGTACCTTAAAGAACGTACAGGTTTGAAGGGTGGTTCTAGACATACTGAATGTGAGTGGCTGCATTAGTCCACTTGAGTGCCATAATAAAATGTCACAGACTGTGTGACTTAACAGAAATTTATTTTTCCACAACTCAGGAGGTTGGAAGTCCAAGATCAAAGTTCTGCTCTGTTCCTGGCTTGCAGATTACCACCTTCTTGCTTTCTTGCTGTGTCCTCACTGTGGGGTTGAGGGAAGGGCAAGAACTCTGGTGTCTTCCTCTTCAAATAAGGACCCCAGCTCTTCCAGATTAGGGCCCCACCCTTATGACTTCATTTAAATTTTATCACTTCCTTACAGGTTCTGTCTCCAAATACAGTTCACAATTTGAGTTAGGGCTTCAACATACGGGTTTTGGGGAGAATACAATTCTTCTGTCCATAGCAGTGTGCTAATAGACAATTAAATAAAATGTCAAGAAGGCAGTTGGATGTAAGCCTGAAGGTCAGGGACCTAGAAATATAAGTTCGGGAATTGTCAACATATGTATGGTACTAAAGCTATAGAACTGATGGAGGCTGCCTAGGGAATGAATGTAGGTAAAGAAAAGTTTGGGATACATTTTATAGTGAAGAAGCTGGAAGGTGGAGAACTGAGGCAAAACCAGTCAAGGAGCAGAGAGGTAACGAAATGAGGAGACCTGGAAGTCCTGCTTTCATTTGACAGCATTTCGGGGTAGAGGAAGTGATCAGCTGTATTAGCTGCTGCTGATCAGCTGAGCAAATTGAAGACTGAGATTCAGCCATAGAATTTGCTATGTAGAGATCAGTTCTCTGCTAAATGGCTTTCAGTAAATTGAAGGGGTTTTGGTCCCTGCTGTAAATGAATTTCACTCAAGAAGTAGAGGAACCATAGCTTTAAAACTGGATTTTCCACTTTTCGATTTTCCATCTGGTTCAAGTACTACATGCCATGTAAAAATCTTGGAAAACAGAGAAAAGCATTGCGAAGGCTATTTATTTTTTTAAGATTTTATTTATTTATTCATGAGAGACAGAGAGAGAGAGAAAAGCAGAGGGAGAAGCAGGCTCCCAAGGAGCAGGGAGCCCAATGTGGAACTCGATCCCAGGACCCTGGGATCACGACCTGAGCCAAAGGCAGACACCCAACCATCTGAGTCACCCAGGCACCCACGAAGGCTATTTAAATCATACATAATACCACCCCTAGCTATTTACATTTTGGTTTATTTTCTTCCAGGCTTTTTTTTTTTTTTCCTGCGAGTAGGTGTTTTTACACCATGAAGATGTTATTTGGACATATGATTTTATAATCCTAACAAGCTTTTTTCACCCTTTGTTAGAATGAGTGTTTAATGACTTTAATTTTTCATGGTATCACAATATCATGATTTATTTAGCCAAGCCCTAATTTGGGGGCATTGGAGTAGTTACAATTTATCCTATTATATAAGTAGTTCTGTGATGAGTATCATCAGATATAAATCTTTAACTGTATCTTAGATTATTTTCCCAAGTCCAGTTTTGAGAAATAGAATTATTGGGTTAAACATATGGCCTTTTTTAAAGTTCTCACTGCCAAATTTGCTTAATTTTAGTGAAGGAAGTGATGAGGAAGAATGGCTAATCTAACATTTTTGTAATTAAAATATTTTGTGAACTAATATTTCACAAGAATACTCAATGGGAAAAGCATAATCTCTTCAATAACTGGTGTTGGAGAAACTGGATAATCACATGCAGATGAGTGAAATTGGACCCCTATCTTACACTACTCACAAAAATACTCTAAGTGGATTAAAGGCTTAAATATAAGATCTGAGACCATATAAAACTCCTAAAAGAAAACATAGGGGAAAAACTCCTTGACATTGTTCTTGGCAACAATTTTTGGATGTGATACCAAAAGCACAAGCAACAAAGGCAAAAATAAATAAATGGGACTACAATAAACTAAAAAGTTTCTGCATAGCAAAAGAAACAATCACAAAATGAAAAGGCAATTTATGAAATGGGAGGAAATATTTTCAAACTATATATTTGATAAATGGTTACTATCCCAAAATAGATTTTAAAAACTCAATAGCATAAACTCAACCCTATAGCATAAAAATAAACAATCCAATTTAAAAATGGGCAGAAGAACTGAATATTTTTCCGAAGAAGTCATACAAATGGTCAACTGACACATGAAAAGATGCTCAACATCACTAATCATCAAGGAAATGCAAATTAAAACCCCAGTGAGCTATCACCCACACCTGTTAGAATGGCTATAAGATATAACAGATGTTGGCAAGGATGTAGAGAAGAGGGAACTCTGGTGCACTGTTGGTGGGAACATAAATTGGTGCAGCCACTATGGAAAACAGTATGGAGGTTCCTCAAAAAATAAAAAATAGAACTACCATATGATGCAGCAATCTCACTTCTGGGTATTATTCTAAGGAAATGAAAACAGGGTCTCAAAGAAATATCTGCACTCCCATGTTTACTGCAGCATTATTCACTATAGCCAAGATATGAAAACAACCTAAGTGTTTGTCAATGTATAAATAAAGAAGATGTGGCATATATATATATATATATATATTATATATATATATATATATACAGTGAAATAGCCATGAGAAAGAGGAAAATCCTGACACTTGTGACAAAATGGATGGACTGTGAGGGCATTATGCTAAGGGAAGTCAGATGGAGAAAGACAAATACAGTATGATATCACTTATAAGTGAAATCTAAAAAATATCTGGACTCATAGAAACAGAGTAGTGGTGGTTACCAGAGGCGGAGGGGGTGGAGGAAATAGGGAGTTGCTGGTCAAGGAATATTTCCAGTTAGAAAATAAGTTCTAGGGAGCTAATCTATAGGATAGTGATTATGGTTGATAATACTGTATCATAGGCTTGAAAGTTGCTAAGACGGTAGATCTTAATGTTCTCACCAAAATAAAGAAATGGAAGCCATGTGATATAATGGATAATGCTTTGGTGGTAATCATACTGCAATATATAAATGTATCAGGTCAACAGATTGTATTTCTCAAGCTTACATAATGTTATATGTTAATTATATCTCAATAAAGCTGGGGGGGTATTTTGTAATATGCAAGAACACCCATATTTATCATAGAAGTTTAAAAATTACATATAAGCAAAAATAATAACCACTCATAACTCCACCACTTGAGTGACATATATATCCTCCTGATATTTTTTCTATTTTTTTTTTTAAAGATTTTATTTATTTATTTGACAGAGAGACACAGCCAGAGAGGGAACACAAGCAGGGGGAGTGGGAGAGGGAGAAGCAGGCTTCCCATCGAGCAGGGAGCCCGATGCGGGCCTCGATCCCGGCACCCTGGGATCATGACCTGAGCAGAAGGCAGACGCTTAATGACTGAGCCACCTAGGTGCCCCTTTTCTAACTATTTTTAAGTAAAAAGTGGGATCATACTATACATCTCATGTAACTTGCTTTCTTTTAGTAATAATATGTGGTGAAGAGTTCCATTGTATGGATATACTAGTTTATTTGCTCAATCCCTGTGATGGTTCATTTTGTGTGTCAACCTGGCTAGATTATGGTGTCCAGTTGTTTGGTCAAACACCAGCTTAGATGTTGCTATTAAGTTAGTTTTTAGATATAATTAACATTTACAAGCAGTAGACTTTAAGTAAAGCAGAATATCTTCAATAACGTGGGTGGGCCCCATCCATTCAGTGA